ACACGGCCGACTACGTTCGAATGGGCTGTTTTGGTTCTAGAAATGCTACCAAATATTAAACGGGTTTGGAATATTGGAATATTATTCCAATAATGTTCTAATATTTTGGAATATTCAATAAAAACATTCAAGTTTTTTTTTTAGTTTTGCGGTTTTGGAATACTCTTAATAGTTTTGGTAATATTTAACCTAACCTAACCAGTCTAAGGGAATCTAAGTCAACCAATCTTAATTAACCTCGTTATTTTTGTTAGGCAAAGTCTGGATAGAATTGGCCGATTTGATAGGCTAGATTTGAATTAGGTATAACTAAATACAGGGTGGCGCAAAAGTTATTTTTTTATTGCCAATCATATTTAAACATAACAGAATAACAAATTAATAAAAATGTATGAATTAAAAAACTAAAATGCATACGTATTACTTTTGTTAGTTTATTTATTAAATTTTGTACATATGACTGAGTTAATAAATTTGTTTGATTGTCAAGTTCTTTTTGGGCCACTCCGTACGTATATTTAAATATTGGTAACATCTCCATTACTAGTATACTTGATTCTAATTTAGTCACTGGCGTACATACATGGTTATCTTGAGGTTATCTTAAGATGATTTCGTGGCTTAGCGTCCCCGCGGCCCGGTCCTCGACCAGGCCTTCTTTTTGTTATGCTGTCCTATTCGACAAACAGCTTTCCATCAGACTGAAACCGGAATCTGGTTAAGACTTATCCGCCGGATAACACTTCCACAGAATGCAACCCACAACAATCGCCTAACTCCCAGATTTACTACTAAGTGAACAGGTGCATCATGTGCAAAGAAACGTGCCCAAACGTTTCGCTATGGCAGAGATTCGAGCCTGGTTAAGAGTCGACTGCGCTGACCACTGCGCTACGGGTCACTTCACCAATTCCTAAAGAAGCTTGTCTTTTGTATTATCATCCCACTGTCCTTGCTCTTTACACGCGAAAGTTTTACCTTGACAAAATTTAGGCTGTGTAGATTAGAAACTAAATAAACTATAGCTAAGATTGTTAGGAAGGGAAGGGAATTATCGGGGGAAAGCGCCAAGCCACTACAACTATATAGGATTATGTTAGGAATGCAAATTAATTTTGCATTCCTTAACAACCCACGCAAATTATACCTGACAGCATCCAGTGCAAAATAACTTGATATTTGCTACAGGTAATCAGTTGTTAATGACACATAATTAGCCTAGTCATGCTACTTGATTTATCAACTCTTTAGCTACTAAAACTTTAGTTACTATAACCTTGCATATCTTAGCTATTAATTTTGTGTGCTTAAGTTTACAAAAATTTTTTGTCGTCCGACTTAACCTAAAAATTGTAGTTGCCAAGTATGATACTGTTACATGTACAGTAGGCTGCTACCTCGCTATAATAAAATAGTTTGGGCTCAAACGTGAAAAGTAAACTGAAACTAGGATTATGGCTGGATCGTGGGCGTATCCAGTTTTAAAGTGCATTCAGAGTTCACTGGCCATCTGGACGGTCATCCATCAGCACCTGCCTGCACTCCCTGCTTAGCTCATTTTCCTGTCTATCTCCCCCGTCTGCATTCCCTGCCTATCTTCCCTGTCTGCATTCCCTGCCTATCTCCCCCGTCTGCATTCCCTGCCTATCTTCCCTGTCTGCATTCCCTGCCTATCTCCCCTGTCTGCATTCCCTGCCTATCTTCCCTGTCTGCATTCCCTGCCTATCTTCCCTGTCTGCATTCCCTGCCTAGCTCACATTCACTTAACTATCTTCCTTGCCTTCATTCCCTACATGGCTCATTCTGCTTTCTATCTATCTGCCTGCATTCCTTGCTTGGCTCGTTTTCCTGTCTATCTCCCTGGCCGGCATCCCCTTCCTGGCTCACTCTCTTGTCTACATTACATGCCTTCTCGTTGTCCTATCTATCTCCCCTGCTTGCCAGTATCTATCTCCCCTACAGTCCTTGCCTGCTGGCTCATTCTTCTATCTCCCTTATTAGCTCATTCTCTTGTCTATCTCCCTTGCCTGCAATCCCTGCCTGGTTTATTGTCTCTATCAACCCACTCTGGCATATTCTCCTGTCTGCATTCCCTGCCTAGTTCTTTCTCATGTCTACCCTGCATAGTTCATTCTCCTGCCTCTCTCCCCTTCCTGGTTCGCTTTCCAGTCTATCTCTCCTGCATCGTTCTATCATGTCTATCTCTTCTCTCTGTGGTTCGCCCTCCTGACTATCTCCCCCGTCTGGTTCGCTCTCCTGTCTATTTCCCAAACCCGTCCAACTCTCCAACAACCACAATGACTTTTCAGACAATACAATGACCTCGCTGGACTTTTTTGTTTATCTTATTTTTAATGAATTAACGGTTCTTGTCTTCCTCCTTTCTTGTATACTGGGACCAGCCGTTTTCCAGCGGTCTGGAAGTTCCATTTCCAGGGGGAATTTAAAGTTTTTTTTTTACTGTACATGATCTTTACAACATTAAACCATTACGTTTTGCAGTTACAACTCGCAGGTTTGGTCAAACCTTAACAAAATGTCTGTTCAGAATATAGGAATGACAATAGTTTCATCTTCAGTTACATGTAGACAATGCAGATGTTTATTTCCCAGCTGTATTTTGCGTTTTTTTTTTTTGTGATGGATCAAGGGAATACTTTCTCCTTCGCTTGGTGCTCGAGGTCTCCCGTTGTCTTACCCACCGCTCAATACCCACTGTTAAGTTCACAAGTTATCTCAATATTCAATAACCTCGAATATTTACTGAAAATATGAACTCTTCTTATTGGAAATATTTTTATCAGATTTTTTTTGTTTTCCTATCTTAGTCGACCCAAGTATTTTTGACTATACTGTATTTTGGTTTTATTGTGTTATCAAACATTATATGCACAAAAGTACCATTTGAGTTATTTTCTATATTTATTTATGATTCACCCCGTGTGAGAGACAATGCAGGTCCCTCCCTCCCTCCCTCTCCAAATAGTCTCTTAACAGTGTGGTGTTTACGTAACACCTGATTTCGACATCGCTTTATTGCTTCTGATTATTGATTTTCCAAAGTTAACTCGTCACCATTTTCACTTTGGACAATAATTGGAATTTAATCTTTGTTTTAAATATCAAAAGAGCAGTTTTTTCAGTCAATATTGCCTAACTCAACTGTTGCATATTATCTTACAATAAATATTAAAATAAGAATAATACTAAATGACCAATAACTATATATTTTACAATCCTAAACATTCTTATGATAAATGACCCGTGGGTTTCTTTTGGTCATGTTCAAGCCTCAACTCGTGAAATTTACATTGGTCGTAGCCTACTTTCCTTGACTCTTTACCTTCTCTCTCTCCCCACCACAGGAACCTCTACTTTTTCTTCTTGTCCTTCCTCATGCTAGTTTTTGCTACAGTAACTCTTCAAATGCCGAGCATCTCCGAGTATCCAGTTTCCTGGACTTTAAAACAAAAAAATATATTTATACTAAATCTCTATTTGACCTTTCACGCGTTGGTGACCTGTTTTCCCCGCAAGATAACCTTCGCCACTGTGGTTATCTCTCCGTTATGCCGGGAAGGACGCCAGCTCCATGCAACGCCCCTATTAGGAAAGGTGCCCGTTTCACTTTATTACTGACTACAGATGAAACGGGCAAAAAAGAAAACAGTCATTCATGGCGATACAGACATGTATAATAGTTGTGGGTACAGTTTAAGGACGAAGAGTTGGTACCACTCACGGAGGCACACCTGCGCACATGCTAAATGACTTGACGAAAAAAAAATATATATAGGGGGTATATATAATTATATACACACGCCACTGTAACGTGGAGTCCGCCGGATGGGTGTGTGGTGCATGACTTGCAGTTGAATTGAGCTCTAATAAACTAACTCGGCTAGGCTAAATGTTCATGTGAATATGTTATAAAGGTTTGTAACCCGTTCATCTGTGTTTTACTTACTTAGTTTAGAAACGAATCAATTCATGAGACCATATATATGGAACCTTTCCACCGTCGCTCAGTATGGGTATGGTGGCGTCTGTAACCTTTTCAAGTCGCTCAGTATAGGTATGAGGGCATGTGTAAAATTTCCACCGCCATATGTATGTGTTTATAAAGGGAGAAATGTATGTGTATCACTCAGAATGTTCGGTGTATGCTTATTGTTTGTAATGCGTGTCGAACACGTTGTACTGAACGGGGTGAGAATAGCTTGAGTTACCTCATCCCTTTGTGTGTATTTATACCTCAATAAACTTATTTGAATATGAATGGGTATGGTAACATTTACATCGCCGCTCAATGTGTATGGGTCTTTGTAACCTTTCCTTACGCCCACGGGATGGATATGAGGCTATTATGTAACTTTTCCATCACCTCTCACGGAATGAGTATGGGGTGAATATACTAAATTAAATAAACTAACTAAACACACACACACACACTTATGTTGTCTAAATATAGTACATGGTTACTTTCTCTAAAATTGATTTCACTTTACGAGAGAACTTTCTCTGATTTCTCCTGTTCCCTAAACAATTTTTTTTTACAACACCACTTCCAATTAATTTTTTAACAGTACTTCCCGCAGGTTTAAACTAAATTATATACAATGCTGTCATCAAATTTAATTTGACTAATTGGAAGTGGAATTCTTTTTTACAAAAACTGTAACCACTTTTTTACTGTAAGTACTTTTACAAAGTACTAACAGATAAACAAACAAGTTATTTATTTCCTGGTAGGTAATTATCAGGAGAAAGCGTCAAGCCATTACGACTATATAGCACTTTGATAGGATCAGGATAAGGATTTGGGATGGAAAGGGGGGAAGGAAGGAATGGTGCCCAAACCACTAGGACGGTCGGGGGGCATGGGGCTAAAAATTAATATGGTGCCCATTGCTTTCACCGGCTTGTGAAGCCCCCTCCCCCATGTGTCCACCCCCAGCGGTAGTGACCACCCTCCACCCGTTCTCCGCGCCAGTACTAACCTTGCGGACCACCTCCTCCTGCACCTGCACATCTGCCGTCATCGTCCCTCTGTTGGATGAACACCAAAAGTGGTTCACACAATACAATAACTAGCTCCTCGTTTAGGGCCTCCTTCAGTCGGTTCCGTATAAGCTTGATCTTGTCCCGTTTCGGTGAATCTGGTGGTCCTGAGTCCTGATTCTCTCAGTGGAACCTCAGCCGTAGTTTATATCCGGGGAAGGGAAGTTGGTGGTGACGGCGCGTGTTCGGTGCCTGGAGGAGAAGAGCACGGTAGTTGATACTCCGACGATGGCTGTGGCGGGCTAGCAACTGAGACTAGGGGAGGGATGGAGTGCTGGACGCGACACACGCCTCCCACCACCCTCTACCCGCCTCCTAATATCTCTCCCCCACTACCAACCTCAACCTCCCCGTCCATAACCCTACTAAAACTCATCCTCGCTTCAACAATACCGCACTAGTTGATTGATTATCCCTTCAAATAGCCTGTTGAGTTAACTGTTGGTCGTTAGCGTTGTGGTGGGTGGTGGGTATGGGGGATGGTGAGAGAGGAGGGGGGTGAAGAGGGTGCTTTCTGGAGAAGTTTGGGCCCAACCTGATGCGAGTTTCTCCCGTGACGTCATGTGTCGCAGGCCGGACTTGGAGGAGCCGGCCGGCATCCCACAAACACGCAACGGTCTGCCCCCTCCCTCTCTCACGAACACTGCAATTAACATGCACCCCTGCCACCGCAATATAATGTCAAGCCATGTCAAAGTGTCAGTTGAGTGTCAGCGGGGGAGTCTGGTTTCATCTCATAAGGCGGGCGGGCAGCAGACTCACTCCCCGTGGCTCGCTCCCTCCCTCCCTCACCCAGCTGCCTGACCTACTCCCAACACCGGCTGGCTCTTTAGCTTTCTTTTGATTTTCTTCTCGATGTGGTGAAGAACCGGGTTGGGAGATAATGTGGCAGTGGTGAATGTGATGGAAGGCCAGGAATGGAGATACTGTAGTATATTACTACAACGCTTGCCCGAAACGCTACGCGTACTAGTGGCTTTAGGTATTGTATGTACTATCTCTATCTATAAATCCAACACTATGTTTGTAAATCAACTATGTATGTACTTTCCTAAATAAAATTTACTTACTTTACTATTTTGGTGAGCGAGGTGCAACACTGGACTATAACATCTGGTAGTGTGGTGGAACAACGGATGTGATGTTCAAACTCTTCATGATATTTGACTTTAAAGTCGTGGATAGAAGTGACTTCCACGACTTCTATTGGTGCATTCTACCTGCTGAATACCCGTGTACAGCGGAAAAGATAACAGAGGCACTGAATAGGCTCAGGAACTGTACTCCAGTATGTTATGAGTATTTACATTTCTTCGACTAATTTGCATTTCTATACTTCCACATAGGACCTTTTATCTCACTTTAGAGAGGTTGTCCTTGTCCAACTTGTCTGTTCCCCTCAGTATCTTGTATGAAATAATCATGTCCCCCCCTCAGTATCTTGTATGAAATAATCATGTCCCCCTCAGTTCCTTCTTTCTTCTCGGTAGCTGTAAGATTGAATTTCCTTAACCTGTGTTCGTAGCTTAGTTCTCTTAATTCGAGCACTAGTCTGGTGTGTGTAGGAGTGTGTGAAGAGCGGGTCAAGCGGTAAGTGTTGCGTTGTGGTAGTGTGTGTTTCATGTTATAGATTCAGCTACTCGGAACAAGTTCCAAGTAGCACGGGCTATGGTGAGCCCGTAACTTACCTGGCACAGGCGCGGTGCTGGGTGTGTTTGAGCAGCAAGGCAGGATATAAATGTGGTGGTGGTGTGTATTCACCTATTTGTGCTTGCGGGGCTTGAGCTCTTGCTTTTTCGGCCTGCCTCTTAGCTGTTAATCAACTGTTACTAACTACTATTTTTTTTCACTCCACACACACACACACACACACAGCAAGCAGCCCGGGACAGCTGACTAACTCCCAGGTACCTATTTACTGCTAGGAAACAGAGGCATTAGGGTGAAAGAAACTCTGCCCATTGTTTCTCACCGGCGTCCGGAATCGAACCCGGGACCACAGGATCACGCGCCCAGAGTTCTGTCCACTCAGCCACCGGCCCCTGAACCACCGTGTGTGTGTGTGGAGGAGCCACGAGGCAGGATTTAAGTGTGGTGGTAGTGTGTGTGTGTGGGGGAGCAACGAAGTAGGAGATAAGTGTGGTTGGTGGTCGGCTTAAGGGCCATGACACTGCTAAAACAAAAGACACTCAATTACTTGAATTATAAGACGCAACCCTTGTCTGCTAGGAACTGGACCCGACCCTGCCCCAGCCCGGTGGCTGGGGCAGGACAGAACACTAGACGCGTGATCCTATGGTCCCGGGTTCGATCCCGGGCGCCGGTGAGAAACAATGGGCAAAGTTTCTTTCACCCTAATGCCCCAGCCCGGTGGCTGGGGCAGGACAGAACACTAGACGCGTGATCCTATGGTCCCGGGTTCGATCCCGGGCGCCGGTGAGAAACAATGGGCAAAGTTTCTTTCACCCTAATGCCCCTGTTATCTAGCAGTAAATAGGTACCTGGGAGTTTTGTCAGCTGTCACGGGCTGCTTCCTGGGGGTGGAGGCCTAGTCGAGGAGCGGGCCGCTGGGACACTAAAGCCCCGAAATCATCTCAAGATAACCTCAAGATAGCCCTCCGCTCTAGCACTCTCCTCACCTGTACATCGTAATGTTACTTGCTACATCAGTTACACAGCTCACCCTAGAGTCACACAAACAGGTCAAATCACTCGAGAACTATGACTCCCCCTATTAAACATATGAAGGGTTTCGTAGTTTTCAACTCTCAACTAGAAATTCAGGGTTCGATTTCCTGGTTGGGCACGTTCCCTTTCACATAATTCCTCTGCTCGTCTAGCTGTAAATAGGTGGTTAGGCACTAGCTGTGGGTTTGGAACCTGAGGAAAGGTCAGTAGCTCGACCTTGGGGTGGGGGGTGGGGGCAGGACCTCGATGCTGTATATACACAGGCTTCCTGTCCCCGACAACGGGAATTACATCAGTTACACCTATTATCTAGTATAAAAATATAACAATTACAACTGCATTAACTCAGGTTCTTTCATGAATCATATCATATTTAATCTTGAAACTTTTGTATAGATTTCCCTTCAGGGTTCTGTTCTTGAGCCTCTGTAACTCTGTAACCCTGTATGTGCCTCTGTAACCCTTTCCACTACCGCCCACAAGATGGGTATGGGGTGCATAATAATAAATGAACGATATTCTCTTTTATTTCCTTCCAACTCTTACATGTCTTACATTTTGTTATCTTTATTAAATAATACTGAATGATAATATATATGATGGTCATATATACATCAATTTACAGGGGAAAAATACTACATTTATATAACAGTTTATATAATTCTCAGTAAACCAATGTTTCATATCACAGAGCATGAACCGTAAACCCCAAATGTTATACCTGCTCCTGCCTCGCAAGAACTTCAATATTTTGTCTATTGAGTAACCCTCCTGCCTGTCTATCCACGCACAAAAAAAATGTAATCAGAAAGAAGCATAATTATTGTATTCTTAATTTTCTTGCATGTTGTCAATATGAAACATTAAAATCCTCATTAAATCCCACTCTAATGCTTTAAGAGTGTCAATAATCCAGTTTACAAGAACAACTTTCTGCTTACAATGATGAAATACAGTATATGCATATTATGGTGATGTTACGCTAATAGACTGGGAGGAGTGTGATGGTGGTGCTAGAGTGATGGTAGTGTGGTGAGGGGGTGGTAGACAGGTTGTGTTGTGGTGGCTGCAGAGGCAGTGGTGCGCTCTCAGTACTGACAATAGGGGCCAGCCGGCACCATCCTCAACATTCCTGGTAGTTGTTGTGGAAGAAGGGACGTGTTAGCAGTCATTGGTGGCCCTGTGTGCGTGTTTAGAGAGCGGGGCGAGCACTGGAGATAAAGATGGAACGAACGGTGGGGAAGAGAAGGGAGGTAGTAGAGATAGGAAGGTAGGGAAGATACGAATGAGATCAATTATATGGGTGAGGATAGAAGGTGGAACTGACACAGAGGCTGCGAATGATGGGAGGGAAGAATGATTTGACTAATTAATGGATAGACTGAGTGCACATTACCCGCCGCCCTATCAGAGGAGTGTGCTGGTAATGTGCACTCGGAAGGGAAGGGTCAAACGTGGAAAGGGATGAGAGGAGGGCGTGTGGGAGGGGAGGGGAGAGAGCACTAAGAATGGTGATAGGGGAGCGAAGGGAGCTAGGGAGGATAGGATGAGAGGGGAAGAAGTAGAGAGCAGCGTTGAAGATATGGAAGAGAAGAAATAGAAGAGGTGTCGTGAGGAAGTAATGGATGGTGATGAGACAGAATGTTAGGAGGATAAAGAGTGAGAAGTGGAGAAGAAAAGGAGACAGTGGAGGATGAGAACAGGTGATAGTGGTGGAAGGGGAACAGGAGGCAGTGGAGTAAAGAGAGGTGTGATACATAATGAATGGGAGGAACTTGCCAGTGTCAGTGAGAGAGAACGATCTGGGAGCAGACATGACACCAAATCTACCTCAGGAAGTGAACATAAAGAAGCAAATTAGAAGCATATGCTAAGCTGACGAACATTACGACAACCTTAAGGAACCTAAACAAGCATTCTTTCAAAGCGTTATATAAAACATACTCCCTATCATTGCTAAACCTTGAAGCACCAACCTCAAAACCTAAACAAACCCACAGAACGCTGACTGAGATACCACAGAGGTTTGCTAAAGATTAGTTCCCGAATTGATAGAACTGATGTTGACCAGACCACACACTAGAAGGTGAAGGGACGACGACGTTTCGGTCCGTCCTGGACCATTCTCGACTTGAGAATGGTCCAGGACGGACCGAAACGTCGTCGTCCCTTCACCTTCTAGTGTGTGGTCTGGTCAACATACTTTAGCCACGTTATTGTGACTCATCGCCTGCTGATAGACCTGAGCTGTGGGACTGAAAGTTTAATCAAATGTCACTAGAAGAAAGGAGGTATATACGGGACGTGATACCGACATATAAAATATTCAGGAGAAGTGATGAAGCAGATCAAATATATTTAGATTGAACAGTATCATAAAGAAATTATACGCCTTGAAGCTAGTCGTACAAAAGAGCCACAGCGATGTAAGGAACAACTTTTTCATTGTAAGGCCAGTAAACAAGAGGAACGATCTACAAGGAAAAACGGCTACCTTTATCCACAAATATAAATACAGAAAATATTACAATAAACAAGGGAGTTAAGAGCTATTACATCAGA